TTTGAGAAAAACGCAACAAATGCAAATATGAAATTTACTGAGGATGAAATTGTGAGAGCTGTTGAGTTCCTCATTGACAATATATATGTGGAGTTTGGTGATAAGATAGTCTAGCAGAGTGTAGGTATTCCTATGGGACCACCTTCTTCTATCCGACTTTTTTTTGTTTTCATATGATGTCGAATTTATTGATAGCTTATAAGGACTGTTTACAAAACCCTTGCCATTTCCTTCAATTTCACATTCAGATACTACGACGATGTGCTGTCATTAAATAACAAGACATTTACGGACCACGTGATGGTGTACAGCCCCCTAAACTTTAAATCAGTGACACTACAGACTCTACTTCAGCCGTTTCCTTGCACTTTACTAACGATACGACCTACAGGAGCGGCTTGCTACTAAGTTGTACGGTAAGCAAATTATTTAGATTCTGATAGCGAACTTTCCTTTTCTTGAATGTTACTCTACACAATTGATTCAGTATTCAAAAGAGTGCTCCGAATCTAATGATTTCTGTGATAAGATGTCGACCGCTGACGGAAAAACCTCAAACACGGGGTTTCCAAAGATTTAGGCTCATGAAGACACGGTAAGTTTTAGGGTCGCCATCATGATTCCGATGGGAAATCTGCTATTCCTTTATGTGACATAAGGGCGATGCTTTTGATCACGTTCATTTGTGTACCCTGTTTTATTATCTCTATCCCGCTATCCATATGAGGTTGTGGCAATACTTGGAGTAGACCATTTAAATTTTCATTTGCTCTAATTATATCGATATTAGGTCCGAATAAAGGTTTTGTTGACGCTTCGGTATTCTCTTGTTTTTTCCTAGTGATTATTTTCACGTGGTTGACTCTGCAGGTGGACTATCAGTCCCCGAGGTTGTCTGTAACCTTGAAGGTGGACTATCAGTCCCCGAGGTTGGCTGTAACCTTAAAATCAGAATTGATTCTGGCTCAGTTTACACAAAATACCAGTTTACGAGTAAACTAGCTCTTGTAGCAATAATTAGTAAATTTGTAACGTTATAAAGTATTTTATAGGCACCTCTTTCTTTTTTAATTCTAATTGGACTAAATGGTAATATGGGGCAGTAAAGTACACTTCCGTTGGTTTTCTGTATCAACAAAATAATATTTTCAATTGATGCTTCTTCGTATTTCTAGTGCTTATTTGAAAAAGACATCAAAAGCTTACTTTAGAATGCTTTTAATTAAAGTAAGATTTCCGATGCAACGTTTTGACAAAGCTTTATAATAGTTTCCTTTGTCTTGCTGTGTTTTTAATTTCCCACATTTAATTTAATTATATTCATTATTTTTTTCTGCATCCAAAAGCAGACGAAAAGTCGTTTTCCCCCGCATATTTCTGTTATATGGTATACAACCTAACATCACCATTATAATGATATATAAAATATTTTGTTATTCTTGAGTTAGAATGATTTGACTATATGGTTACATATAACCTCATAGCCTTGTGACATAATAAGTATCATTAGAAAAATAATAAGGAAGATTAAAATGTTTATACGTGTTTCTCCATCAACAAATTATCTTTCTTTGCTCTTCATAGTATGTATATATATATATATATATTATATGTCTTTTCAATATCAAAATAATATTAAAAAAGAGTATTAGTAGTTGTTTCCCCTAATTTGATTATTAATTTGATAATACCAACTTGTTTCTATGTGTTTGTATGTGTTCCAATGTCTATGTCTATGCTTGTACCACTGTTTTTTACCATGTTTCGAAAGGGCTTAAATGGGCTATGCCTGCTACCTAATCCAAATAAAATTTATTGAAATTGATAATGAAGAACATATTAACAACAACTGTAACTCGATGTCTGAAGCTGAACACAGCATACTTTCATTGGCCCATAGGACTATTTTACCTATTCAGGTCTGCAACACTAATATTGTAATATGTTAACTTGTCAGGCTTTGGGGATCATAATAATTCAGATAGAAACAAAAACAACACGATAAATTGGTGGATCGTCTGCAATACCAACCATGTACAAAAAGCCTCGAACAGCAGTAATGGGACAATCACAACAATTACACCAACCTGACCCATCATCACAACGTGAACATCAACAAACTGACGAAACAGTATAACACTCTGATGAACAGCAAATATAACAGCCTAAAGAATCAAATTCAATCTCCATAACCTTTTTTTGAACAACATCAACATTGATCTGAAATCAAACTGTAACAAGAATAGCAACATCAGCTGCATAACCCCATTCTCTCAATCAAGAGCAATCGCATCCGGTGGTATATACCTAAGATATAATGGTACGGGGACTTGTAAGTGTTTCTATCATCATAGCAGAACATTCCATTAGTATAAACGGACGCTGGTAGTATATTCTTAAATGTGAAAGGGTAGGCGTTTCTTTGGCTGCAGAGACTTTCTAAGGTTAAGACCTTAACACAAGTAAAAAATCCTTTTTGGTCAGATTTAAATAGAGAACTACGGATAAAACACTTTCCAGACAAACAAGGCTCCGAACGGAGATGTCAGCCAGCTTAACTGGCCTCTCTATATATACATACATGCATAATATTGAATCATAAATATTTATGAATACAATGCATTTATATCTATATGTACATATTTATATTAATATCTTATGAACATTTAATTTTAGCAATATTATGATTTCATATGCAGTATATATATAATATTGTTTATTATGTTGACTACAGTATTGTAGGATGATATTGCCCGTATCGTTCCCAATGTTAGATGTCCTTAGCTGTCATATACAGTATATATGTAATATTGTTTATTATGTTGACGACAGTATTGTAAGATGATATTGCCCGTATCGTTCCCAATGTTAGATGTCCTTAGCTGTCATATACAGTATATATATACAATATTGTTTATTATGTTGACTACAGTATTGTAAGATGATATTGCCCGTATCATTCCCAATGTTAGATGTCATTAGCTGTCATATACAGTATATATATGTAATATTGTTTATTATGTTGACTACAGTATTGTAAGATGATATTGCCCGTATCATTCCCAATGTTAGATGTCCTTAGCTGTCATATACAGTATGTATATAATATTGTTTAATATGTTGACTATAGTATTGTAAGATGATATTGCCCGTATCATTCCCAATGTTAGATGTCCTTAGCTGTCATATACAGTATATATATAATATTGTTTAATATGTTGACTATAGTATTGTAAGATGATATTGCCCGTACCGTTCCCAATGTTAGATGTCCTTAGCTGTCTGTTCCCGGTATTCTATTGGCCGTATCGGTACCGCTCCTGTTATTTAGTGATATCTCAATTTAAAAGACTTTTTTGTTTACGTAACACTGCCGATAATGTTCACACTAAATTTATTTACCTTGAGTATTGGTGTTGTCATAATATTCATTATATATTTTGGACGACATTCGACGTTATGTTCAGAGATCATTGTAGAAAGAAGATTTCCTATTTATATGTACTTACCCAGGCGTCATTCACGAAGCACAACTACAATGGTTATTAAAGTATCATGTTTTCACTCTAAACATGAACTATTTCCTTATTTACACTGGTATAAACATGATATAGGCCTATTTAGTTCTTGTAGACAAACATGAACGGGTAAATCTACCTACGTAGGCTATCACGCAGTTTGTAAAATATTATGTAATTTTAAGAAAAAAAATGTTTACACAAATCAGTAACGTGTTATAAATAGCGACCACTGTTAAACAAGATCTCGGGTGCACTACTCAATGATCTGCTTTTTCCTTTTCCAAACTTCCTTTATACACAAATACCATTTAACTATTACAAAGATAAGATGTAACCTTCATTCTAGACGAGTAAAATATCTATATTGTGTGATTTGAATAGAGCGACACAAATCAGTGAGTATTGTATGTATCGCTTCCTGAATTGACACCCTACACTTGCTAGGAAATTAGAGTTGCACGGATCCCAAATAGGAACACAGTGGCTATGCTAATAAGTCTACATATAGTACAACCGTATTTGATTAGTGGAACAATCATTTATAGTAAAGTGTTACGTAAACATGCCTCGCTGATTTCAAGTGCAGAACGATTTGGGGTGAATACCCTTAAAGTAAGCTAAAAATAGATTTTCGACTCACATGTACATACCAGGTAGTTCACAACTTAGGTAGGTCTATAATACACATGTGCACACCAGGTAGTTCAATAGTTCAATACCGATTAGATAAGATTTTCTTAGAGTATGTGGCGTATACTACCTGTAATAAACTGACGTGGATCAGTTGTATTGGTGATGTAGACCAGGAACAAACATCAAACTCACACACTCTAGACTTTAATAGCGTGTGATAGGAAAAATATCTTAGATACCGATTAAGCGCTCATAATACGAATGTCTAGTCGGCAATATCGAGGAGAGGACTACAAAAATCTAACTCGGTTATTAACTGAACTTAAAAAATATAATAAAAATTTATAATGAAATATAAAATAAAGTTGCCGTATATATGGATGTCTGACGTTCATTTCTCCGGTAGTTGTATAATAAGACTGTTTGTATTACATTTTATTGTATCTTCAATGCAAATACACAAAAACAAAATATACCACAATGTCAATACATCATGATTATATGTTACTCATAGTCAATACACAATGACCGAAAGTACCATATCGTCTTGAATGCATAACAGAAGAAGTTATATTCGTCAATACAATTAAAAAACGTTACAAAATCGTCAATATAATAATAACGATAAAATGTTCCACATCGCCCATTACCAATGATGAAATATACCAAATCGTCAAAATGCAATGACAACATGTAAAACATCTCTTTAACTAAGATTATTTTTGATCGCTAATTACTTTTCATGATTTTCCTTTCATGAATAACAATAAAAACTATTTTTACATGCTGAGGACACATTGAGAAAACGCAGAAGTTTGTTATCACATTTTATTTCCAATTTTCCGTAGAACAAGTCAATAACAACGACATCTGTATGAAACAAAAAACGAGGTCCGCGTGTATAAAGGTGTTACATCACAGTTATACGGTAACAAATTAACACAGTGTAGGGCATTACTAGTGGGATGGTATTTATGTCATAGTTAAGTAATGAAATGCATACGTTGATTATAGAAATGCTTAGCACTATAATGATACGAACTTCGCTCGCAAACATATTCCATGATGAGTCTACTTTTAAATATCTTAAATAATTTTATTTTATCATTTTTCTAGAATTTCTTCTGTTTCGTGATAAGCTTTAATTAAACGATTTACTAAATGGTGGAACAAGTACTTTTGCGGGAGGATTTAAAATTAGAATTCGATGTCATGCCATGATTGATCCTCGATTATTTTAACAGTATGAATGAAAAACCCATTCCACTTGTAACTAAGCACATTTAGTGTCATGCTATCATCAAACCATCTTGAATTGGTAGTTATAAGGACTGAACAACGAATATGTATACATTTTATGCTGAATGAATCATTATGAATATATTAGTTTAGAAATATTACTTTGAACACACAACATATTATCACATCAGCTGTCAATGAAAAGTTGTATCTGAAATACGGGAAATACATGATATGATGATGTAATAAATAAAGATGAACATAATATTCCTATATCAGCTGTACACAGACTAGACCAGTATATAACGACTAGATTCACCACCACCCAGCCATCAGCACAGCATATTGCTCAATATCACATAAACATCGTAACGAGTCGAATAAACGCATAATCACTAACATCAATATTCATATTAAAGAACAGCATTATGTCAGAATAACGTTCATTTCTATTGTATGAAGTCGTTTTTAAATTAGAATATACGTAGACAAAATAACGCCATTAATATTGTGAAAGTATGTAAAGAAAAAAGTCGTTTTTTAATAGAATATATGAAGTCAGAATGACGCCATTTATATTGTGTGATAGGGAATACATGTATGTGAATATGAGTTATGTTTAAAAGTTGAATGCAGATGAAGAGAGGTATGTGGTTTACTGGAAAGAACATGGTACATCGGGGAGATCTGGTTACAGTTTGTCAGTTACCTATCATATGGTAGGTCCATGTTATGAAGTAGTTACGTCATTCTCTTACTTAAATTCAACTTCTGTGAGCTTTCCCCAATTAAAACCAACTAATCCTCATTCGGATTCCATTCCAGTTGCTCTTCCATAATCACACCTTTGTATCACTATTACAGAGGACTTCAATAATTCCACTCTTTCCTCTTCTCTTTCTATTGATCTCCAATATATATTTAAATGCAATTTTTACCTGATTTGACCATATTTTTTCTAGTTCCGACGTTTCAAAGTTTTGCTTTATGGTCATCAGGTCTCATAGTTCAGGATCCACAATCACAGTCAATATAGGCATGTCCTTTACCTTAACAGGCTGACCCATTTATTGTAACCTTCTATACCAGTATTTTGTGTGAATTGTCTATTAACAAGGACACTTCTTGTGTATTTTGTGTGGTGTTCTTTCTCCATAGATTATTCACGGGTTTGCTACACGTCCGTCTGACCCTGTGTACGTATCCTGGTTTTGTCGGATGGATGTAGAACGGACACAGTGACATCCAACACTGATTGGTTCCCAGACCTCTTCATACCTGTAAACGTTATTCTCTGAACACCCCACAACACGAAACACGCGTGTGTAGTAGTTTATCTTTTTACACTCTCGTATATATCCACTTTCGGATGTCTGTTCCTGACAATTACTACAGCGACACTCCGCTTGAACCATGGTATCCGGAATCCGGAACTGGTCGTACTCCATGACGAAATAGGATGGACATAGAGGTGCGTTGCTCGAAATTAGATCGGGACAGGTGGAGTCACCTTCGATGCGGAGATATTTTTTGTCTATATATTCCTCGGGTATTGTTGTCAATGTACGGATAGGTTCAATCATTCCAAAACTGTCATGGATACGAGACCGGTATTCGTTTCCTCGGTAGGATCTCTCTATCCGGCGGTATTCAGATGCGCTAGGAGGATAGCAAACAGTGCGACGAAGTCGAGACGGTCTTGTTTCTATGCCAACCAAGAATAACAGTGTAACAATTGACCATTGGATTACCTGAAATAAACAATAACATACATAGTTGATCATCAAGTGATTAAAATATTTTGCATATCAGGTTGTTTTTTGTTTTATGATTGAAGTATGTTTAAGAGATTTATCGTTTTAACAATGTTTACTATCGTCACTCATGTGACTTTACAAAGGTCCTTGTGTCGTGCATCTTTCTATTACATCTATTCACTAAATGGTTTGTCACACACTAGCTCACGTAATTCTCCCAAAGTTATGTTATGTTTTCAAACTGACGTACATTTCAAACAATAAAATTGTAACAACTATAATTTATCATAAAAAGTGATGGAACATCTGCAACATGAACAAGGTATAATGTAATATTATGTATGAGATTGTAAAGTTCTGTCACACTCCGATTATATAACACGTCTGTGTAGGTAAAGGTAATATAAATATACGATATCGTTCCATTCCAACAGATCTGATAGCATTCCTATTAAATGAAAGTGAAACTCACTATTTTACTATAGTAACATGATATTCTGTTAATTTTGTTTGGTTTTTAAGCACGAAGTTTTTTTATCATCTATATTCTTTTAGCTTTACATACCTTTGCCATTTTCATATTTCTACCTTCGCAACCTTACAAGTTATAGTCCTGCTTAGAGCCATACCGCTTTTTATACACGGATTGTACCCGATATTAAAATGGCTGGGTGTTTCCCATCAGGGTTACGTCCCTTAACATGAATGACGTAAACCTGCTGTAGGAAGTATAAAATGTATATGAGAGACCTCCAATGAGAGGCCTGTCGCTTCCTTCTTTTGCTTCTGTTTTAAAGGGGAGCTCTAAGGGTGCTATTTTACACATATATCATTTCTACTCACCTACACATGAGTTCTTAAAGAAGATTGAAAACATAGCAGCAGCATACCGATAATGTTATATTTATACAATACAATCCATCTAATTGATCAATCAATGCAATGACTGACGACATTATTTAACCCCAAGGGTACCTCCTGCCAATATTTTTAGCTGAGGGAAATCCTCTGATTCTATCATATGATTTGCAGACAATCGGAAATGGGCGTGATCATAGGGAGGGAAGATGATTTCATTAAAAACCGTTGGGTTGTATCCTTACCAATACCAATGTTAAATATAAGTTGTTCTGAAAATCGTGATATTGAATTTGGCAGAACAAGGATAATAGTCCTAATTTAGGTTGTTTTTGCAGTTGTAGTCAGTTGTTTCCAATCAATAGAGCCAATAGATTACAGTTTATATTTTGATATAACGCTACTTCCTTATTGTTACAACATTGTGCAAATGTTGGAGTGAAAATTATCTCCAACTTAGCATCGACTTTTTATTTTAGTTTTCATAATTGTAAATGCCGTTACATGTATATCGGTGTGACATAATCTACAGCTATAAAATATATACAATAATATATATACTATAGCAATAATACTTCATATATACAATTACATTGATATTATAACAATAATATTTCATATATACAATTACATTGATATTATAACAATAATACTTCATATATACAATTACAATGATATAATAACAATAATACTTCATATATACAATAACATTCACCAATTAAGCAATACTGTTTCATAGACGCTTTCACATTTATATCATAACATTTATACTATAACAATACCACTTCCTATATACCATAACATTTATATCATAACAATACCACTTCCTATATACCATAACATTTATACTATAACAATACTACTGCAATAAGAGACCATTGTATAGACATTCCGAGGTGATATCTGAGTACAGGGTTGACTGTATTAATTTACATATTGATAAACAAACAAACAGATCTAATGTATTAGCTTAGTAGCTCGCATCTCCAAAAACTTTTGTCAATTTGAATCCGATTTGTAATGTATCACAGTAAAATCGATTCTTAATAACTGACATTATTTCCTTATAACAATCCTGTCTTACAATGTTTATTTATATACAACATACATTCACCCTGTAGCATAATGACGTAACATAAAATTCACTCTGAAACATATCAATGTATCACATGTATTCACACAGTAACATATTAATGTTTCACGTGTATTCACACAGTAACATATTAATGTTTCACATGTATTCACACAGTAACATTTTAATGTTTCACATGTATTCACACAGTAACATGTTAATGTTTCACATGTATTCACACAGTAACATATTAATGTTTCACATGTATTCACACATTAACATATTAATGTTTCACATGTATTCACACAGTAGCATATTAATGTTTCACATATATTCACACATTAACATATTAATGTTTCACATGTATTCACACATTAACATATTAATGTTTCACATGTATTCACACAGTAACATATTAATGTTTCACATGTATTCACACAGTAATATAAAATATCTATGTATTTAACTTATACACGTACCCACTTAAATATTTTGGTGTTACACATTTATACATCCTGTAATATATTGATGTACCATGCTTATACACAGTGTAATATATTCATGTAATACATATACACTATATTATATATTGATCTACAAAATATATAAACAATGTAATATATTAATGTAACACATAAACTTTGTGTTATATTGATTTAACACTCATATACACACTGTAATATATTTTTGCACTACATATGTATACACTGTATATTCAAACATATATACACCATACTATATCCATGTACTAAACATTAACGCGTTCATTGATTGACTGCACATATACACAATGTAATATGCTAATGTAACACACACACACAATGTCATATGCTAATGTAACACACACACACAATGTAATATACTAATGTAACACATATACACAATGTAATATGCTAATGTAACACATATACACAATGTAATATATTGATGTAACACACATACACAATGTAATATACTAATGTAACACACATACACAATGTAATATACTAATGTAACACACATACACAATGTAATATACTAATGTAACACACATACACAATGTAATATACTAATGTAACACACATACACAATGTAATATACTAATGTAACACACATACACAATGTAATATACTAATGTAACACACATACACAATGTAATATACTAATGTAACACACATACACAATGTAATATACTAATGTAACACACATACACAATGTAATATACTAATGTAACACACATACACAATGTAATATACTAATGTAACACACATACACAATGTAATATACTAATGTAACACATATACACAATGTAATATACTAATGTAACACACATACACAATGTAATATATTGATGTAACACACATACACAATGTAATATACTAATGTAACACATATACACAATGTAATATACTAATGTAACACATATACACAATGTAATATACTAATGTAACACATATACACAATGTAATATACTAATGTAACACATATACACAATGTAATATACTAATGTAACACATATACACAATGTAATATACTAATGTAACACATATACACAATGTAATATACTAATGTAACACATATACACAATGTAATATACTAATGTAACACATATACACAATGTAATATATTGATGTAACACACATACACAATGTAATATACTAATGTAACACACATACACAATGTAATATACTAATGTAACACACATACACAATGTAATATACTAATGTAACACACATACACAATGTAATATACTAATGTAACACACATACACAATGTAATATACTAATGTAACACACATACACAATGTAATATACTAATGTAACACACATACACAATGTAATATACTAATGTAACACACATACACAATGTAATATACTAATGTAACACACATACACAATGTAATATACTAATGTAACACATATACACAATGTAATATACTAATGTAACACATATACACAATGTAATATACTAATGTAACACATATACACAATGTAATATACTAATGTAACACATATACACAATGTAATATACTAATGTAACACATATACACAATGTAATATACTAATGTAACACATATACACAATGTAATATACTAATGTAACACATATACACAATGTAATATACTAATGTAACACATATACACAATGTAATATACTAATGTAACACATATACACAATGTAATATACTAATGTAACACATATACACAATGTAATATATTAATGTAACACACATACACAATGTAATATACTAATGTAACACACATACACAATGTAATATACTAATGTAACACACATACACAATGTAATATACTAATGTAACACACATACACAATGTAATATACTAATGTAACACACATACACAATGTAATATACTAATGTAACACACATACACAATGTAATATACTAATGTAACACACATACACAATGTAATATACTAATGTAACACACATACACAATGTAATATACTAATGTAACACATATACACAATGTAATATACTAATGTAACACATATACACAATGTAATATACTAATGTAACACATATACACAATGTAATATATTGATGAGACGCGTATACGCATGTTATGTGATGATGATCACATATATACAGTATGTTATACATTTAGATATAATCTATATCAATGATGATTTTAATACATTTTTATGTAATTTATTGCGTTAATCATTTTCTTATCTATATTTACGTTCATTTATATTAAGAACATGCATGCATGTATTTTCATTCGCGTTCTTGAAAATATATACACACAATGAAATATTTCATGACATTAACCTTCAAATGACATCAATGGAAAACTAGGTATTTAATTTCCTTTAATATCAATGCAAAATGTATCAATACGATTTGGAACGATAGCTAGTCGTGACAAAAACTAAATATGCAATACTAAAATTGATACGGCTACTACGGGGATGGAACCTCGGCCGCCTGCCTGGAAGGGCGGAGTGTTAACCACTCGACCAATCCTCCCATACACATTGTATTACACAATGTACCTTATTTATATGCCATGCTACGTTGGAAGACCTCACGCTCCGTCACACAAACATTAATAATTATAGCTACCGTCTATCTATCTACAGAACATTATTATAAATACTAATTAAAACTGTCATAAATCAACTCAAATGAAAACTATAACTCGAACTCAAAATCGTTAAAAAAGGGGGGGATATATTACATGAAGACCACCAAGTGTTCTGGAATGATTAGCGTTTTCTAAAATTGACGATCGAAAAATCAAAACTCATTCTGCTTATTGTAAAGTTAAGTTGTAAGCCGTTCTTGTCGGTTACGATGAAGATAAATATCGAGGAAATCGTTCCTTATTTCAAGATCAGGAGGGCATGTGCGGTCGACGTGGTCCAGAAAATTTATAATTATTTAAACACAACACATCGTCGATAAGTCAGAATTTGAAATTAAATGACTTGGCCATTTTTGTCACCGGTCCTGATAAACTCACAAATCAATTAAGCCTCATGTGAAAAAATAACCATAGAAATTTTGACATTTTGGTAGAAAATCTAGCTACCAAACTCAATAAAGATAGTGTCAATCAGGAAGCTGATAATTCCTCAGTATATTTCAGATTGCCTTTCTTTCACAATTCACAAAATATGCTCCAAAATATTTTACAACCAAACTCTTATATCGTGTTTCATCTTTCTTGGAAAATTATAGAAAGCCGGTGTTCCTTCAG